TTGAAGAATGAGATCAATTTAACTGAGTGGCAGAAAGGCCTTAATAAATTTATTTGGGCAGGGAAAAAGCCAAGGGTTAAGTTTAAAATTATGCAAGATTTCCGTGAGAGGGGAGGACTCAAGGTGCCGAATTTGAAATTATATTATGATGCGGTGGTTTTAACATTAGTTAGTGACTGGGTAAATTTGACAAATTCTGATATACTTCACTTAGAGGGATGGAATTTACTTTTTGGGTGGCATGCCTATTTAATATTTAATAAAAAAATGGATTGGGCTTTTAAATCTCATATCTTAAGAATTTCTTTACTTAGGGTTTGGAGAAAATATTATAAAAGTGATTTCAAAGTACCATTATGGGCTATACCTTGGCATGCAATAGAAGGAATAAAAAGAGGGGTTAAAATGGATATGGTGTCCTATAGACAGTTACTTAAATGGGATGGACAAAACTGGCAGTTAAAATCACGGGAAGAGTTAGCACAAGAAAATATTATTTATTCTTGGTTCCAATATAGGCAATTATTAGACAGATGGAAGATGGACTGTAAGGTGGGTTTTCTCAGAGAAGATGAAAATCTTATTAAGCAAGTGAAGGATCAAAGACAAACCCACATTAAGAGGATTTATGGGGTTTTAGTTGAATTGGATTCAGAAACGGAACTAATTAAAGATTGTATGATTAGATGGGCGCAGAATTTTGGTGAGCCAGTTCCATTGGACACCTGGGAAACTATTTGGGTGAGAAATGTCAAATTTACACAAGCACAGAACTTAAGGGAGAATTTTTATAAAATGTTTTATAGATGGCACCTTGATCCACAAAAAATGTCTTTTATGTACCCTGACTTACAACCTAAATGTTGGAGATGTGGTTGTATGGACGCTACTTATTATCATATTTGGTGGTCGTGCAGAGAGATAAAAGCATTCTGGATTAAGATATGGTGGAATATCCAGAGAATTTTTAAAAGGAGGGTAAAATTTACTCCACAATTATTTTTGTTAGGTATAGTTATTGATTGTGATACAAAGGAGGTTATATTGATGTTAAATTTGATTACAGCTGCGAGGCTGTTAGTAGGACAATATTGGAAGAAGGAATCTTTGCCTACATTGCAGGAATGGTTTCTTAAAGTGTCTCATTTGGCGGAAATGGCAAAGATTTCGGCTTTCTTAAAGGGTCAAACGCAAGAGAAATTTCTTGCTGTTTGGGATAAATGGATAAAATTCATACAATTTAAATTTGATATAAAAAATACTATATAGTTTTTTCATAATTTTTAACTTATATATATATATATATTTTCTATTTTATATTCTTTTTTTTATAAATATAAATTTTTTTAATTTTTTTTAATTAAGCCTATATTCTGCTCTGGGAGGCCCTGGGGGGGGGAAGGGGGGGTTTGGGTAGGGGTGGGGAAAGGGGGGTTTTGTTGGGTAATGTTTGTTTTTATTTGTATATGTTGTTTTTTGTTTTTGTATTGTCTTTTATTTTCTGTAAAATTTATAAAACTTTTTAATAAAAAAAAATATTACATATATTAACAACAGTGAAAATTATATTTGCTCAATACTGGAAAAATGAAGAAATACCATTTGAAGAAGACATAATTAAGAAAATTTTGGACTGCAAAAATAGATAGGCTCACATTGAAAATGAAGGGGAAGTAAGATTCAGAATACTTTCAAACATGGGAAAATTTTTATAAATGGTTAGAAAAAAACAGAATAAAGGGTAGGAATGGAAATTGTATTACTATTAATGTTAAACACATAAATTCAGACAATGTGTTGCTTATTAAATACTAAAGACTGTTACTGTAAAATTAATAAAATATATATAAAAAACCTCATTATGGGCATCTTTGCGGTTTAATTTGTTAAACAATCTAAAATGCTGAAGTGTTACACTATTTGACATTTACAATCAGATACACATTAAATGCACTGGAAACCATACCTGAAATAACTAATGAGACATAAACAAATTGTTACTTCTGAATTTTTTAAAAACATCACAGCAATAGCTACTTTGAGACAGAATTAGAGGCCTCAATGATTACCATTCGATTGCACTGACATCCACCATCATGAAATGCTTTGAGAAGCTGATAAAGGATACTATTGTATCTAGCCTCTCGCCAGCTTTTGACCCGCTTCAGTTTGCCTACCGACCAAATCTCTCTATGGAGGATGCTATTTCTTCCATTCTCCATCTGAGCCTGAAGCACTTAGAGGAAAGAAATACTCATGTACGTTTGCTGTTTGTCGACTTCAGTTTGGCGTTTAACACAATCATTCCCCAGCATCTAGTAGACAAACTGAGCCTTTTAGGCTTAAACACTCCTTTGTGCAACTGGATTCTTGATTTTCTTACCAACAGGCCCCAATATGTGCAAGTTGGAACAAAAATACCTCTAATAACATTTTTTTGAGCACAGGTTCTCCTCAGGGCTGTGTCTTAAGTCCGCTGCTGTTCCCCCTGTTGACCCATGACTGTTTGCTAGGTTTGCCACCAACCATATTGTGAAGTTTGCAGATGATACAATAGTAGTGGGCCTTATTCAGGATGACAAGGTGGAAGCTTACCGCAAGGAGGTTGAAGGGTTGGTGAACTGGTGTAAGGAAAACAGCCTAGTTTTAAATACCGGAAAAACCAAAGAGATCATTGTTGATTTCAGAAAAGGCAGGAACAGCCACACTTCTCTGTGCATAAGTGATTCACCTGTGGAGATGGTTACCAGCATCAAATTCCTGGGTGTGCAGCTAATGACTAGGCTGACTTGGTCGCTCAACAGTGAGAAACTGGTGAAGCGGGCACAGCAACACCTGCATTTTCTGCGCCGCATGAGAAAAGCACATCTTCCTTCCCCTGTCCTGACCACTTTCTACAGGGGGACAATCGAGAGCATCCTGTCATACGGCATCACAGTCTGGTTTGGAGGCATCACTGCTTCAGACAGGAAGGCAGTGCAGAAAGTGGTGAGAATGGCCAAAAAGATCATGGGCAGTTCCCTCCCTCCCATCCAGGACATAGCACAGGGCAGGGTCTGTAAGATTATATGGGACACTACACATCCTCTTCACGACCTGTTTTCCTTGTTACCTTCTGGGAGGAGGCTTTGTGGTATCCGAAGCAGAACATTCAGATTCAGCTAGAGTTTCATTCCATACAGCATTAACCTTGCAAACTCTCAAGCTTCCTCCTTCCGTTATATATTCAAGATGGACAATATTTAATATTTATTTGCTACGTATATGAAGGGATGTGGGTCTATACATATGTTGTTCATAGTATGTTTAGGTTTGTGTCATGTATGTATTTCACTTTGAGAGCGGGTAATTAAATTTCATTTTTGATGTGTGCCATTGTGCCCACAGTATAAAAATGACAATAAAGTTTATCTTATCTTATCTTATCTGAATGTGCTAGAAGTATTAAAATAAGAGGAATCGTACATGTTAGTCAAGCTTCAGAATCAGTATTAGTGATGTCTATAATTTCATTTTTCTGCTTCTGCAGTCCCAAACATAAATTAATGTAATTTACACTAATGACTCATCAAACTAATCCTGCATACAAGAAAGATTTACTGCAATACTAAAAAAAGTTCTTCAAAATAAACCACTTCTTATTGGGTACATTGCCAGCACACGTAAAACATGAGGAACTACAAAGTAGCGACTGTTCTTGCATGGCAATTCAGTTGCAGGTGCCAGGATGTTTCTTCTGCTAAATGTGCTCTGATAAAAATTCTCTCTGTATTAGAGGGACCCTTTAATAGAAGTTGCCATACTAAAGTAGACGTGATTAGAATGAACCTCCGCTCCATTCATTCAATACAGACTGCATTTCAAACTCTGGATATTATGAACCTCCGCTCCATTCATTCAATACAGACTGCATTTCAAACTCTGAATATAATACTACTACTGCCGGCTGTCACCCTCTCAATATAAAAGCTTACATTCAGAAGGAAGGTAAGTGGTCTGAAAGCCAAAACATTGAGGTCTACTAGAGTAGGTTAGAAGAGAACACATTTTGACATATTGTCTTGTAATTATTAACCCATTTTCAAGGTGGAGCCTCTTGCCCTTGGAAGATTTGACTTTTTTATATCCTACATTTCTTTAGTCACAACAGCAGATTGATGAATTACTCTGTTTATAACTTTTTATTTTACAGTTTTAATAGCCTACCTCTTTTACTGCTTGAGGTACTATACAGTTCTAAGCACTCAAAAAACAAACAATATATGTAAAAAAAAAGTGATGAGATCCAGAAGATATTAACCAGTTTAGTTATTACTTAATTTTAAGAATAAATAAGCCTTTTTTCAGAATTTTGGAGAGAAACATTGCTACATTTGATCTCAAAGCAAATTCCACACAGGTAGTTATGGGCCATGGAATTGTGAATGGGATCATTTCAGGGTTACTTGCTAAATCTATCCAACTAAAATAAAGCTTCAAAACTTTCATTTTGATTTCTTAAATTTTTATTATATAAAATATTGTAATCCAAATTATATATACATTTAATAATGTATTCTTTGTAAAAATCTTATTTTAAACAAGTTGCAAAGCACACGATAAAAAAATAGGAATTTTAAACTGCATTAAAAATTCTTGGTCAAATAACTGAGTCAAGTTTTTCATATTATCTTTAAGATACTTAACTTTTCAAAACAAAAAACCATCCTTGAACAAAATGTTTTCAGAATTGAAGCCCAAGTTTAATTTGCCATCAAATTTAGAATTTGTCAAAATATTAAACTTTGGAATAAGATGCTTGGCACCCATTGTAAATTCACACAAATTAAGTATCTAGCTGTTATTTAGTCTTTGTATGCTCTTTTGAATCTAAAGTCCCAATTATAAATGTGACTTCAGGAGCCAGAGAATATAATTGTGATCATTGAAATCAATAGTTAAATTCCTTACAAGAAGTGAGAATTTGGCTCTGAAGAAAAGAAAAAGCTGTACCTAAACAGTTTACAGTCTGTTTGTAATACAAGTATTTTAATGCAAATAAATAAAATTCACAAATAGGGAACCATGAGGGAATCTAAGTTAAAGGCTTATAACAGAGTATTACTAACATATTGATTTCAACGTTGATTTGTTTTATTCATCTGTAAGCTACAAATGGAATGGATACTAAATTCAAATTTAAATCCATAAGATAAATAGCAATGATAAAATTTCAGCTACTCTTTGGTTTTCAGCATTATTAGACACTTGATTGGAAGGAAAACGTAATGGTATAAAAATAAAAATGCAGCAACTTAAGCTCATCTCACACATCACCCAGATTCCAACAAGCTACATTCCAAATAAATCCTTTTTTTATATGTATTAATTGTCCCATAGTTCTCTTTACTGGACCCAGCATTTATGTAAACTTATCTTTCTGGGATAAACAGGATTCTCTAAGATGATTGAATTAATTCATTTTTGTAGCAATATACATGATTTCTGGATTAGGCAAAATGCTCTTATATATTAGGTTCCAGAATCACTTGCATGAAGAATCTCTTAATAATCCAAATTGTAAATGAAAAAGTATAGGTAAATAAAAAAACACACACAAAAGAAATCAAATAAGAGCATATCCAGAACAACTTATTAGAATGTGGGATCAGGAACCATGTAGACTTTACAATATATGCATTAGATCTTAATAAAGCTGCCCATTTTTAGTGACAAATTGGATTACTCTTAAAAACTGACATACAAGAACCCTGTTATATATATCAAAATGACATGCAAAGGTTGGGAAAATAATCTAGAAATGATAAGTACAGTAAAGACAAGAGACATTTTAAAGTGTTTCTCTATTAGCTCTTCCTTAATATAAAGAACAGTTTCAGATTATTTGTAAAGAGGGAATATTGTCTCTGCTACAAATTGGGTATTTGGCTAAGGGCTCTGTTAGGCAGAATATGTTTACCCTAATTAATTATCAATAAATAGTTGGTTCTGATATTCTACAAGAAATGAGACACTGTGCAGGGATTTCCGATAGTACTGGATTATCACTCTGAATTAACAAAGTAAATAACATGTCTGAGTAGATGTTAGCGAGACAAAAAGGTCACAAATGATTTTGTCAACTTTAGAATGAGCATGGCTGCAGCCATTTTTTCCTTCTCATTTCTAGCTGACACATAGCACGGAGGGAGGGGGTTGCCAAGCGTTGTGCTAGACAAAACAGACTTTCTCTCTCAGACTTTCTCTCATGGGAACCAAGGTCATTGGCTGCTCCCGAGACTGCGGGCTAGGCGACTCATGAAAAGCCTGCCAACAAGCTGTATGGGGAACCGTAGTTGCTTGCATAACCTTAGGGATGGGATTTCTTAACTTTGTATTGAAGAACTGTTATGCATCTCTTCAGACTTGGTTTCATTTTTGAAGTGCTGATACTTTGTATCAATAAACATGTTCTTTGAGGAATTGCAAGCTTCGGAGTTCTGCTTTATTTGTCTCTGTCTGTCGGAACCTTGACAGATTTTTTGACTACAACTTCTTACAGAAGAATATGGAACATTTGAAAATGCTTCTGGCCTTCTGCAGTGCTGCATTACATTGACTATGACATGTCATCTGGTAATTGTTTCCTTCACTTGGTCCAATTTTCCCCCAAAACACTGAAATTTCAAAGCAGTTGTACCATACAAAGCTATTTTGGTGACGAAGTATAAAGTCCAAGAACAGTGCAAGTGATAGACCAGGCATGGCTGCAAATTTCTTCTGGCATCTTCAAAGCATATAGCACCATTTCACTCAGCACTTGTTTCTATTCCTGTGATATATCCACCATATTTTACTATATGTCTGTGGAATCATCCATTGCTCTGAAATACAGAGAAATAGTTTTTATAACTTCAGTTGAATTCAGCAGCCTTTGAATTATATATAATTTAATAAAACAATTCAGGCTCTAAAGGGGGACTCATAGGCCCTGGATTTTGGACACATCCTCAAGTTAGCCCATTTGAGGTACTTTATTCAAAAATTGTCACCCTACAATGTACCACTTCAACCTGTTAAAAGTTATACACAAACAGGAGTTTTAGTAGTATGGCTAGTCCTCAACTTATAGCACTTCATTTAGTGACAAAGTTACAATGGCACTGAAAAAAGTGACTTGTGACTGTTTTTCACACTTATGACCATTGCAGAATCCACATGCTCACATGATCAAAATTCAGACCCTTGGCAATTGATCCATATTATGCTGGTTGCTGTGTCCCAGTGTCTTTGGAGATCTTCTGACAAGTAAAGTCAGTGGAGAAGCCGGATTCATTTAATAACTATGTTATTAAATTAACAACTGCAGTGATTCACTTAACAACTGTGGCAAAAAAGGTCATAAAATGGGACAAAACTCACTTAACTGCCTCACTTAGCAACAGAAATTTTGGGCTCAACTGTCATAAATCGAGGACTATAGAGAGAGAGAAAGAGGGGGATGGGGAGGGAGAGAAAGAGAGATCTGTTAAAAGCTGCAGCCCATCCTACCTCCATCCAGGTTATGATATGAACTAAATATAGAACTAGTAATTAAAATTAATTGTAATGTGAAATAATGTATTCCAGTTATATAATTCATTAATTCCCATCTGTATATACCAATCACTTTTTACATAAACAAATTCATGTTTGTACATATACAATCCCCACCCCTAGCACAAACAGCAAAAGAGAAAAAAAACACAAGATGGGAATGAGGGAACAGGGAAGGGGAGGGGGGGAGGTGAACTCTGGATGGAAATGAGATAAGAGGAAATGTTAACAAGGCAGGGAAAGGTTGGCGGCAAACAGACCTCCTGAGCAATTTAGCTAATCATTTAGCTGATCTTCATAGACATCCGGGTTTTGATGCTACCTGTATGTAGTCTACAGCTACTTGTACCTCTAGTAACTATCCCTTATTCATTCTTTTGTATTCAGTTTTTGCTATTCTTTCTAGAGTATTGTGGAGTATACAACATACACGCACAACATCCAATCTCTTCCTCCTCCTCCTGGCTTTCTGCTTTTAAGCAAGCCCTCCCTTTCTGTTTTATTAAAAAAATAAGTGGCAAGGACAAAAAGTAACTACTGTCACTTGGATTCTCCTGCCAGCAATCTGCTGGTCAAATTAATAATTAGCTATGACAAAGAGACAGAGCTGCAGTTATTCATGGCATTTCTGGGATGGGAGGCTTGCTGAGAATGTACTGATGTTATCGAAAATGTTATTGTTGGTTGGTAAGATAAAACACTTTCAGTGTGGCTTTCAGAATAGCAATGAATAGACATGAGCATTTATTTAAAAAACAACAACTGCTTCCTCATCTCTATTATTAAAACTGGTATGTCTTTGGTTCCACTCAACGCTCCGTTCAGTTTTGCAAAACAGAACAGACAATAATCAAAACAGCTCTTCTCTCGGAACCCTTTCAAATCCATCAGAAACATATTTAAAATGTAAGAATAGTGGAATTATTTAATAATAATCGGGATGTAATCATCTTCACTGATTTGCATTCTAATTAAGTCTAAACAAGATCATGATTAATTTTTGCCCTGCCCTGCCCGTTAGTTTTTGGGCTGTAGACTCTATTCAATAGTCATGTAGAGCTCTCAGCTCAGAAAAAAAAAAACTGTTATCTTCTGATCTAAAAAGCAAGTGATTTTAATCCTATAAGTAGCTGGTCATTTTTCACGTTATGTAAGCTCAAAAGTATCCACGAATAGCATGACTTGTTAGTGCCCTAGTCCCAATCAGCCTTTAAAATGAAACAAACACATCCATAAATGTACACGGATGCAACTGACGTGATTCACAGAATAAATAGCAAGGCAGTTATTTAAAGTGAGATTTTCAGGGTTCAAATGATTGAACTTTATATTGCATTTCCAGGATTGCACCCAGGAGGCTTTCAACCATATGAAAAAGAGAAATTGAACAAAGGTAATGATCATAAATTCATCCCAGAGTAAAAATGAAAATAGATTCCAATCTGGGTTTGACTGTATTTGAATATCGAGACAGGACTGGGCCCTCATAGGCTTCTAGGTAATCCTCGACGTAAGAACACAATTGGGACTGCATTTCCAGTTGTAAGTAACTGCAGTTGTAAGGTGAGGCACTCATGTGAGCAGATCTGATCTTACAACATTTTTGCAGCAGTTGTTAAGGGAACCCCCACAGCTATTAAGTGAGTGCCATGATTTTAAGTGCAAACCTATTCTTCCGAATGGGCTTTTTTTTTTCAGTAAAAAATTCTGGAAACCAGCAAAAGAGAGCCACAAAGCACAGTCACGGGACCAAAGGATACTGCAATCAGTTGCAAAGACAAGCCAGTTGCCAAGCACCTGAAATGTCATGTGACCGAGCAGGGGTGGCATGACATTTTACGATGGACAGAAGTGCTTTTACAAACTATAAAGCACCCGTTCCAGGTCTGCTGTAATTCTGAACAATCATTAAGCGAACGGTCGTTAAGTCGAGGACTACCTGTACTTGGAGTAATCAAGGCAATTGCCTGCTTGGTTCTTTTATCTTGCCAATGTACAGGGAGTCAAGCAAGCCACAACTGTAAAGAAGAGGCCTCACATTCCACGGTTCTGTCTATACTGTTCAAAAAGGGCAGAACGCTAAACCAGGGGTATGCAACCTTGGCTCTTTTATGACTCGTGGACTTCAACTCTCAGAATTCCTGAGCCAGCATGGCTCAGCTTGGAAACCTCTCCTTTTCCCCTCAGCATGGCTGGCTCAGGAATTCTGGGAGTTGAAGTCCACAAGTCATAAAAGAGCCAAGGATGCCTACCCCTGCGCTAAAGAGAGTCAACAGTTAATATACTGTACAGCAGGGGTGTCAAACTCGCAACATCACGTGACATGTCGTGATGTATTGTGAGTTTTTTTTGCCATTGCCGGAGCTGGGGTGGTTGTGGTTTCGCTATGATGCATGCGGCCCGTGGGCTGGCAGTTTGACACCCCTGCTGTACAGCATCAACTCAGGGCTCACAAGAACTCCAAGAGCCGAAGCAAACAAGTTTTTTTTTTTTTTTACTGTAGTAATCCTAGTCTTGGCCCTTTTATTTCTGAAAAGGTGCTTGGGGAATAAACTTTTTTACAATCAAATATTTGCTACTGTTACAAATATTTAGCTAATTAATATGTTTCAATAGCAAAGCAAAGAAGACGGATACATTTGGAAAAGGTGAATGTCCCCAATTGTCAACTGGCAATCTTGGTATTCAAGAATGTATCTCTGAGAGTTTTGTAGTTGATAAACCCTTACCTGAGCTTTTGCTTTAGTTTCTTGCGTTTTTCTTTCAGATGGTCATTTTTAACACTTCTGGGATCGTCAGGCACAAACCATGCTGCAATTAGTTTAACGCAAAGAGCCACATGCTGGAAAATAATCTGAGAATTATCATATTATTCCTTCAGGCAGACAGCTGCTTTTATCTTCTAGACAATATTTAATCGTAATCAAGTAAACTGCTCTTCTAAACTACCTGGAACATGGATTAATTGCATTACTACTGTGTATGAGTTCAGAATGATAATAGCATTATAAATCAACCATTGTATGGAAATCATCATAGATCATCCAGATGCAATGGTCAGGAACCCTCTTTGGGCCAAGTCTGATTTAACAGTTAATTTATAGTTTATCAAATAAGTCATAGTGGTTTAATTTGTACATGAAACCTAAACCCAAACTTTAGAAATCATACATCAAGCCAAACTATATCACACATTATGGATTAGCACAAAATATAAATCCAACTAAGATAAGATGGTGCCAGTGGTGGGATTCAAATATATGAACAACCAGTTCTCTGTGTGGATGCCGCTTCCAGAAATCCATTCTGGGCCTGGGCAACAAAAAAATAGCTACTGGCTCTGCCGAACTGGTGCAAACTGGCTGAATCCCACCACTGGCTGGTGCCTTCTGACTCTTGGAAATGTATTCAAGGTATGAGATAAAATATTTTCTATTGATAACTCATTCTAATGATGCTCATATCCTAGAACAAAACATATTTTCATCCCTAATCCTAAATAGATCTGGCCTCTTGAATATCTGGCAGATAACAAGGGATTCCTATCTGCAAACAGATTTGGAGTTTTGGGGGCATTGCAAACATTCAGACATCAGCAGCTTCTTTAAAACAGGGTATTTTCACTGGTCAATTTCTCTGGTCAAGTGGCTAAATTCCATCCTGATTTATCTGCTGCAGCATAAAGTCCTAATTCCTGAGGATAATCTTCTCTTGCTATGGAACTGTTAAAAGGCAGGTGTTTGTAAGTAGATTTCAACTAATAATCAGTTTATGATGGAGCAACTGAATTGATCTGGATTTCAATCACACTTCGCTGAAGGAGACAAATGCTTTCGGAGTGATACGTCCTACTGAAGTAATCAAGTATCCAGTAAAACCATAGACCATTAAGGCAGGCTGTATTGGCTCTGGATGTTCACCCTAGAAGCCATACGTCGACAACCGTTAAGAAGACCACAGTTCAAGTCCACTGCTTGGATGCCGATGTTGATGCCCTTTTCCCACCCTGCTCTTGTTTGCTCTCTGTCATGCTCCATTCTTACTCTTACACATTCTACTTTCCTTTCATACATACAAAGAAAGACAGCACAATACCTGTGAAGGAAGGGACGCTTTTTCAGATAAAGAAATGTGGTGGAGTTTGAGGAGAGGCCGGGGTGAGGGGGGCAGATGGGAAAGCCTTACAGACATAGGTTGCCTTTTGGTAGAAGGTTTTGTACATTAGTCTTCAATAGTGTTCTTCAGTGGTTATGCATGCTCCTAAATAGTTTCCCTGAAACTAACTCTATAGACTTTGTTGTCTGCACATGACTTTGTCCATACTTTTGCAACTCAAACACTTACTTCAAATACAAATAGAAAGGCAACACGTGCAGCAAAAATGTGCCAAAACTCAATAGAATGATTGTAGTCATCACTGTTTCGGTAGTCTGGGTACCTGGATAAAATGAATAGAAACAAATAAACTTCACAATTTATTTATTTTTCCCACTACACATACTTTTTCCTCTGCTTTAAAATTGCTATTTTTGCTTCAATAGGCAAAGGCTCTTAGAATGCCAATGTAAAATTTGTTCTAATATTGTTTATTTTAATGTAATTTATTGTTTTAACTTCTAAAGAGCTCTGAGCATAGTCGGGTAAAACAGAAGTAGCATATAATAAATCCTAGTATGTGTATATATGTAAAATCAGTTTTAGTAAAAATCAGTCCTGTCACTGGAGTGCTGAATATAAATTATAGAAAAGGAGGAGGGCTACACCAAAAACATTGTCTGGCCTGCTGTGTACTTTCTGTTTTGAATATGAGGCACAGAAACATTGATAGGGATTAACCAATACCTGCAGTGGGTTATCTCATTCCCCAATGGATCTGTCAGATTCACAGTATTCTCAAAGTGCTGGATGTTGAAAACTGAAAGGCTGTGGTTGACATAACCTGTCAAACAGCTGTGAAAGTACAACAAAGCAACAATCAGTGTGCAATATGTCAGTTCTGCAGGTTGTAACACACTTAATTTTGGACCATAAGAGATTTTTATTTAATCATTTCTATCCCCTTTTGGTTCATTCTAATATTCAAGGTAACTTAACGACAATCAAAAATTTGGGTACCCACAAAATAAGTTTAATGCAATTAAAATCTAACCCTATCATTTAAATCACAAGTGCTTACATACAGCTATTAGAAGGGAAGGAGCAATAAAGCTTGGTGTTACTGGTGTACTGATAGCATCTCACTTTCAAAGTCTAATGGCCTCCTTCAATTTAATGTTAATATTACATAAAACAGAAGACAACACAGAACTCTGGAGGTGACCATAAGTCAGTGACATAGCTGTTCAACAACTCTTGCGGTACCAGCTTCTGGGCATGTCTTAAGAGGAAGGACTAGATCCATTGCAAAATAGCCCCATGACCCAACTCTGCCAGAAGGCCCAGAAGCATACCATGGTTGACTATCAAAAGTTGCTGAGAGTTCCAGGAGAAGTAGATGATCTATCTAAGTTATACACCAAACTCTCCAAAGCAGCCTCAATACCATATCCCAGATGAAACCCTAACTGAAATTAATCCAGAAAATCAGTCCACTTTCTCAATAATTTTTCAGATTCCAGAATGGAATATTTGATACTGGGCTATAATTAGAAAGGACTTCTGGGTCAAGAAACGACTTTGTCAGTAAAGGTCTTCCTTTAAAAGTGTGCAGGAACTAATCCAGAGTTCAAGGAGATAGATAGATAGATAGATAGATAGATAGATAGATAGATAGATAGATAGATAGATAGATAGATAGAGATAGGCAGGCAGGCAGGCAGGCAGACAGACAGACAGATTCGACAACCAGGAAAGGCAAAGCTTGACCAAATAGGTGGTGGTTCTCATCTCTCCTTATACATATCCTAAAGTCCAATCTGGAAATAATCCATATGAACCTTATAAGTAGCAGCCAAGACAACCTACTATTACCTGCCCTAATACTGGAGTCCAAATTGAGGCAACTCTGAGTGCTAAGAATAATAAAAAGTGCCCCCATTGAACCTATCTTATAGCTCCACCTCACTCTGCATCATTAAAGAGGAGATTCTGCGCATTATCAGCTTTACCACTCTGTTCTGTGCAGAACACAGGCCGAAAAGTAAGTCCTCTTTGCTGGACCCACTGCCATGGAATAAGATTTGAAATGATCTTGAAAGGCAGCTCCATTTCCATGTCCAGTCCTATTCATCACACTATATATTTATTCATTATCTTAATTCTTTTGAAGTTCCTATTAGCAACATTGATAAATATGCCATGTTTCAAATTTCCAATTGCAAATTAAAGTTACTTGCCTAATACAATAATCTGCCCTATTATTGTAATTTCATTATTACATGAAACATGGAAGAAAATATTTCATCTGTACGCATCTGGATTAAATTAGAAAGCACTTAAAAGTCACAGGGTTCTTTGGTGGTGAAATGTGGAAGATATTTTTCCTCTGTGCCATGCTTTTGAGGACATGCATGTAATATGATTAAATGAAGGCCATCAATAATGGGACAATATTGGATTTATTTTTTGTGAGGAAGAGTCAAAGATATTCTGTCATACATATTTCACAAAATGTGGCCAGTTTAGAAAAATTTAATTTCCTTTTCTGTGATTTTCAAGCATTGCTCTATTTGGCTAATTCTAATTGTTTTCTTCATTTTAATCTATCTACCGTTTTACTCCTCTCCATAATCAGACCTGATGATACACTTGATAGAAGTCTAACACCAAGAAGCCACATGCACATGACACCCTCAGCTATTCAACTACATTTTAGATTGCTTAGTAGTGAGAATCCAGTCTATGTGGTTCAACATATCATGTGAATCAAGCCATTGAACTGAGTTATTTACAATTATTTACCCTAGATAAACATGTCATGTAAACAGGGAAGAGAAGTAACAGGATCCGCTACAAATACTAGGTCACTAATCCTTACAAACATAACAATGTTTATGAAACTCAGTTATATTCATATGATAACAATAAAGATTATCCATATCTTTTATCCTACTAGCCTTAGGCTTAGAGGAAAACTATGAAAAATATATCTATTTAAATAAAGAACCAATAAACTATACATTATATTTAACAGCCATGTTAGAATTTCAGATAATACTAACTCAATGCCAGTATTGTTCTTCTGCTTGCATGGACTGAATGTATATTGGTACACCAGCATGGGGATGAAATCTGAGGTGATGGCAATAACTAGGCCATTGCCAATGACAGAGAGTATACCAATTGTTTCTAGGATATAGTACCAGATACCTATAAAGGGAATGAAAAACAAAAGAGTCTTAGTCAATATGTGGAAGAAAGAGAATTTGCCCTAACTGTAATGAATCCTCACCCCTGCCCTTCATAGGAAAGAAGAGTCCTTTTCCTGCAAACTGCTTTGAATAGAGCGTTATTAGTGGAAAATATAAAATATAAATGAACTATAGGCTGCAATTAATTAATTGGAGTATCAAGGATTTTCTCACTCTGAGAGAAAAAGCAATATGGAACAATGTGGTGACCTCTGTGTTATTTAGAGCAGTTTCTCAACCTTGGCAACTTTAACAGGCTAGCTGGAGAATTCTGGGAATTGAAGTTGAAAAGGTTGAGAAACACTGATTTAGAGAGAAAACTGGGAATATTTCATTCCTCAAATAGCATCTATCTGGATCTTCTTGCTGTGGCCAAACCAGGGTGGATAATAATCGATGATTTAAAAAATAATAATTAAAAAAGCGGATTTTTTTTATTTAAATCGGATTTTTTTATTTTTATCAAATTTATTTTAATAAAATGCTTCTGGAGTAAAAATCTATCAAAAGATAGTTTTCTATTTAAGATACATTAATAATTTAGTTTATTAAGCATGAAATGCAGCTTAGTTATGTAGCATGAGCCTGTACATTCTGCAATATTTACATTTTTGGTAAACTCTAAGTCTTTTAATTAAATAAAAGAGTTTGAATAGTACTCCAATTATGTGTGATTAACCTATTAACCTAATATCAGTTCTGATCTTGCTGTTTTACTAACCTGACAGCTTATTATTCTAAATAGGAAACCTTTATTTTATTTGCAAATAACAATATTAAAGATTCTACCAGCAAGAATGAGTCCTTACATTTAAAGAGCACCTGTCATTCAGATCTATCATGGCAGCACCTGTTAGCGGGCATCCACTTACCTGATGCCTGCCATGTCCCTTACCTTGTTGTGTTACTGCCACATCACCAGCTGTCCCATTAAAGTGAATGGAACTGTCGGTGGGTCAACAGCGAGTCAGAGGAGCCGCTGCAGGACAGAGATAACAGTTGCTCTTTAAAAATCGTGATTTAAATTTACTTGATTTAAATCAAATCCACCCTGGGCCAAACCCAGCTAGATCTTGATTTGGAAGGCTGTACTTTAATGGTTTTAGTTGTTGGGTTGATGTATTCCTCTGGACCTCAAAGGCCATCAAAGCATTTGACTCAATCCCCAAATTCTATCTCCTTGTTTAAAAGCAGCTGTATCGAAAGAATGCCTTATCACAGTAAAATTGCTATTTTGATGCATCAAACAGGCCTACCAAATGGGCTGAAAAAACCCCTCTTTGATCTGCATCTTACCAATGGTGTTAGCTTTCTTGGGCACCATTCGCTTCTGAAGTTTCACCATTTTGATAGCATCCAACCGAATCTCAAAAAGGTTGTTGACAAAGGCCAGAAATGGCGCAAGGGGGAAAGCAGCCACGAAAATAGTGGTGAAGCTGTACTGGATCACTAAGGATATATAAAGAAGAGGCTGAAAAGAGGCAGGAAATGAAAGAACATGAACTTTTGAATACTAAATTTGTTGGACCAAAAAGGATATGTACTGTATATTCTAGTCCAAGAGCTTGCGGGTGATAGAGCACATTGATGTCTATTCCTTTTCCGAGAAAAACATCTGACATTAAAAATCATTATGGGAACTCTAGTTCAGAATGCTTGAGCTTTATGAGCGACAATCCAATACTTTAACGGTACTGGGCACCTACAAGTTGGATTCAAGATGTTAACATTATCATTGGGATCAAGAATATTTATTTCAAAGCACTGGTGATAAGAAAAACTGAAAGCAATGAATGCAACAATACAGCTATAGTATTTCATTCTCATGTTTCTCAAAACTATCATGTAGCTTTGACTGGCAAAACAGCCAGCATTCTAACCTTAGTTTGGCCCCCATGGCAGGTTGCTGACTCTTACAATGTTCTGTGAGCTTTTCCACTGAACTTCACTTACTCATCTCCATGTATTCATCAAACAAGGTGAAGACATTGACTTCACTGAGCTGATAGTTCCACAGCCATTCCTCCTTGCACAAGTCCTGGGATGTCTGCTCCACATTAATTCTTTGGGGCTTTCTGCACAGCAGGTGGCATTTGTAGGTCAGGCAGCTGAAGGGGCAAATATGTATTTAAGGAAAGTAAGATTCAAAAGAAGACATCTGTTGACTCTTAAGGTGCTCATGAATATCCACTCTTAAAGATGCCAACAATAGATATAATCAACCCATCCTGCAACTTGGTGACTTCCTCAAATGTGGAACCCACAACTCCAATTTTCCCAGATTCTCAGCTAACCAGTTGCCTTTCTTTTTTTATAATTTTTGATAAATATATATTTTTTCATAAAGGCTAGGATATCTGTACTTTGAACACTTCACAGATCTCTCTCCAAATAGTCATTTGAATGTTTCTGCAAAGAAAACAGTTATTCATAGGCTTGATTCACACTGGAGGTAACACTTCTGTTCCCTTAGTATTTCTTTAAATTTACATAGCCACCCATCTCACCTGACTCTGAATGGCTCACACATTAAATAGCAAGACCAAATGCATATAAATAAAATTTAAAACAATTAACTGTAAGCATTAAAAAGTATCAATAGAAGAGAATGTTTATAGCTTAGGATTGGGATCCTTGGTGTGCTCTGAACTTGGTTCTTCAGTGTGATGTAACTTAGTTGGGTAATGAAATGTCTGCAAGAAAACAAGCAAGCTCCGAGAGAAGCAAGGACTTCATTTTTTAAAAAAAAAGTGTGGGAAAAGGCCAGCCAACAGCTCATATGCAATAAAACTATCTTGCACAAGATCCTGATGGCACTCTTAAATTGAGCCAACCTAACCTCAGGAAGGATGATGTTCCAGGGGGTGGGAACCACAGCACAAAAGGTTCTCCTCCTGGGTCCCATCAGATGAAACTCTTTTGTAGATGGGACCCATAACATGCTCACCTGTATAATGTAGGAACTCTTGGAAAACAATTAGCTATGTTCCATTTAAGAAGTGAGGCAATTTCTAAAAACTTGCTTCTCTATATATGATGAGGTGGGCAATTGCCAGATCCCAAACCACTTGTGGATTTCAAAGTCCCAGAGAAATTTCAGTTGTCAGCTAAATTTGACAACATATTTCCAGTCAAACTTCACTGGAAGAATAAAGAAATCAAATGGGTTAAGTTTCAGAGAGGCTTAATGTACCTTTACACTGCAAAGCAAACAAAAACTGTGTCTACTCTGCCATAGTAATTATAATCCCACAAAACACTGCCACTCTGTACATCATCATTATGTCTGTGCTGCCCTCTGGTTGCTGACAGTTTTTGTTGTTGTTGTTTGGTTTGGTTTTTTTGGTGCAGAAGCCGCCTGATACTAGTTCAAGAAATATTTGTGATATCATTCCTGCAGTTTACCAGATCAAGATGCTCTAAAATAGGATTCCCACAATGGGGCAAACTGTTGCAACCATATGTATAATCCCTTAAGCACAAGCATGTGAATGAAGCCCTTGCCCTCACTTCCTACTTCAAAGTGCTTATAGAGTTACCATATGTGTGCACAGGAGAAAACTCACAATAGTAAAAAAAAAAAAAAAAAAGGACAGAATGTTGTTATTCCACAATCGCCAACTCCAAGAGAGCCTCCTTCATGTCATGGTTCTCCAGCTGTTTGATATAAAAATGCAGGCTGCGTATCTCACAGGCAAAGACCCAGTTGAAGAAAAAAATTCCATCGCAAGATGTTCTATCCTAGATTTAGATGATTTAAGCATTTGGGCTGCACCACATCTTCCAAAAGAAGAGAGGCCCCACCCACATTCCTAGATATTGGTTTTAAAGAATAAAACTCCTCTTTTGCCCTGAAGCCAAAGAAGTACAATTCACCATTTCTTTTCCCAGAATTGAAATTGTCATTGCGTGTATGCGTGCGCATGCACACACACACACACACACACACACACACACACACACTAGTTTCATTTGAGCTGTAACTGTGCAGTGATCTACTTACGGACGCAAGTACTCCATGAGGGTACTGAGAGTTTGCTTTAATGTCATAATTACAAACATCTGAATGAAAAGGTCTGTAATGCAACCACTAGGATGACACTAGAAAAAGAAAAAGAAATGTACCCAATGTCATTTTTTTGGGTACTCTCACTCTGCAAAAGGTATATGGGGAAACAGCTAGAAAATTATGCATGTCTGTACATTTTTTACATTTTTGTCCACCTTTCCCTCTCAAGAGCTCTCAAATAGCATACAAGGTCCTTATTTTCTCCATTTTATCCTTTCCCAAATCATCTGACCAAATATTACATTGAGAGAGAATGATCGACCCAATTAGTTCTAAGTGTATGATCTGAGCTTGTCTTATGCATCTTGCATCCATGCCTATCCATTACTATCATTAACACATGTATTAGGATGGTTCCTTCTGATAACTTTTATAGAAAGTTCAGAGTGCAAGTCAAAAGTTATAGTGAGATTTAAGCAACAGAATAATCTCCATCTGGAGCCAAGATTTAAACCATTCCAATATGGTAAGATATAAATGAGAAATTAATTTAATAGGAGATCAAGTGAGGAGTAGAAAAGGGGACTTATTAAAGTAGCTTACTTCTTCCAGTCTCCATTTGCCAGCCACACGTACATAAGATCCTGGATGGCCATTAATCCTAATAAGGAAGTGAGATTAAAATATAAATTGTTCCCAATCCTAATAACAGCTTTGATAATCATTATACACAGAATGATACATTAAAAAATGTATCATGCTATGTGGGATTTTACAGGCCATAACCAGCACCTTGGATTACAAGGGCAACTATGTACAGCTCATTAAAATAAACCATCTGGGAGGTGACCAGAGCACAAGTGACAGAGTGGAGCCTGCTGATCTAGGAATGGTGCAACTAGTATATAGCCCAAAGTTGCACAAAAGTCCTCTTGGCCAAAACTACCACCTGGATGGCCATCCTTGAGCAGGAGCTCTGAATCCAAAAGGATCTTCAGATTATGCACCAGTTCTGTTTGGGACAATGACACCACATTCTGCACTGAAGATGGTAAGTTCCCAGATCCTGAAGGCTCCCAAACTCAAAGCTAGTCAGTCTTGCAAAGGTTAAGCTTTCCCATCCAGACCCCACAGCCTCCAAACATCAAACATTGCTTAATTCTGGGGGTAGAAATGTACAGCTGGGGATCATCAGCATATTGATGGTATCCCACCCATGGAGGCAGATGATTCATCCAATGGCTTCATGTGTATATTAAACCGGAGTGGATAGAGTACCAAACCGTATGGAATCCCACACACCAGGGGCTGAGGGTGGAATCTCTAGTTCCAAACCACACTGACTAGAACTGGCCACAGAGAAAAGAAGAAAAACAGCACAATATATTTCCATTTATCCCCAACTCCCACAGCCAGTCCAAAAATATACCATGGTCAGTGGTAATGAAAGCTGCTGAGTGGATGCACTACCCTCATCTTGCTCCCATCAGGGATCATCGAAAAGCATGACCAATGTTGTTTCAGTCCTATGCCCAGGTCTGAAACACAACTGAAAGGAATCAAGACAATCCACTTCATCCAAGATGCACTGAAGCTATCGCGCAATCATCTTCTCAACAATCTTTTCTAAAAGAAGGAAGGTTGGATTCTAGCTGAAAATGGTTTCTAACAGGAAAGAGATCTCCAACCTATATGTTTGACCCCACAACAAACTTTGGGAAAAGATCATCATTACTCCCATTTTACAAATCATTTTACAGAAAAAGTGTGGCAAAGTTTTCAATAAAACTTAGATCTTGAGATTCAGCTCTAATACCTACAGTTGCCCAATACCTAACTCTCCCAAGTTTACTACTTACTGTTTACCTCCCTAGGAAGAAAGCAACGTAGATCAGAGAGGAGAAATAGGTGAAGAACTGGAAGGTGAAGACTTTAATTGTATAGCTTTTCTCTCGCTCGCTGAATGATCTTGGCCTCTCTGGAAAAAAAGACCAAAACTGCAGTCAGCTATAGTCCTTGGAACATCTGATTTGGTCTCATGCATGAGACCAGTTTCAAGAAAATATTTTTCAAGCAACATGGAACATCTCTGTAGTGAGTCTTCATTCATCCCCTATACTTAGAAATGTTCAACTTGATATTTTCCAGTTATATTGAGATAGAGTTTGCTTCATCTTTCATGACTGGCTATCTTGAGCCACAGATTTTACAATCCAAAAACAGCTGGACAGCACAAATGAGAACAGACTGCACTACAGTCATTCAGTACATATATATTTCAAATAGAAGGATGAATGGACACAACATTGGATGCTTCTTACCTAGTTCACAGAGAATGTGTGCAATATACTTGTTCACCTGCAATAGAAATATAAATTATACAAGTGCAGAGTGTCTGCAAAACAGACAGCTGCAAAATAAGTAGCAGGTGTGTACCTTGCTCATAATGACGATGCTCAAGTAGTGCAACACTGCACCCGTCAGGACTGCCACAGTAGTGGCTTTCTCTTGAAGGAATTTTGAATTGGACTGAGTAAAGATTACTGTCACCACAACCCGATAGATGACTAAGGCATGAGCAATTCCAATCAGCACACATATCTAAAAAAATATAAGAAAGTACTGATAGCACCAAAAAGGAAAAATGAAAACATCAGAAGAACAGCGGAAGGCCAGGTGGTCCATCAGTTTCAGGTAAGCATGATGAAACTACATCAGTTCCATCTAAAGACATGGTTTGTGACCTATATTGATTAAATAATAAAATTATTAGTCTTTAAAGTGCTATAAACTCTAATGTTTAGCTGCTGACTAATTCATATTACCTCTCTGAAAAATTTACTCGTTTGTTTTGGTTTTATAGGAAGATGGAACAGAAGGTAGCTTACGAATCTTTTCTCACAGCCATTTCTTATCAGTGGAAAGTTCTGCTATGCTTAGATTTTGGAAAGAATCTTCCAAAAATAAATTTTCCAAATTTCTCTTTTCAGAAAAGTTGTCCTGCTGCATTGTGGAACAGTGCAAATAATCTGCTGATTTGTGACAAATTCCAGCTCCATCTAGAAGGGAAGGTCTGGATTTTATTTTCATAAAAGCTTCCAATATTTGAAACTTCTTGGAGAATACCACAATGGCCAGAATGATTTTTTCCCTACTTTCCTAGCTCCTAAATGGGATCTTAATGTGTATCTGAAGTTTGGAAGAGCAGCACAAAGTCCCTTTAGGAATCCTTGAGAATACAAGTTTTGCCTAAAGCAGACCATTTTTTAAAAAGTATATCTCAGTTTTGGCAACTGTAGTCTGATGGCAAGAACTGGAATGTAGAAAAAAACCTCTATTTCCTGTATTCATTTCTGTTTTAATATACAGTAAGTCTGGGAACCAGAGAAACTAGTACTGGCCAGAAAAATGAAGTGAGGGTTTAAACTGCTGAAAGTGATGCTGCTGGCTATCTTTCCATGAGATGATTGTGTCACCTGTCTGGAATTTTAGGTTTCTGTATTAGCATTTTAATAAAGGTGCTATTAGCATTTTAGCATGGCATCCATACTTCCTTTTAAAATTTAGCAAACCATGTTTTCTTTTAAAGAAAGCCATTTCTTCTTTTGATAGCGAGAATTAGCCTTTCCAACAACTAAACAATAGAGAGCTTATTCTGGAAATCCTTGAACCCCTGCAAGTATATTAAGATACAGACTTAATTGGGAAAGCGGGTGATGTAACCCAGTGTTTCCCAAACTTGACAATTTTAAGGCATGAGGACTTCAACTCCCAGAATTCCACAGCCAGCAACGCTGGCTGTGGAATTCTGGGAGTTGAAGTCCACATGCCTTAAAATTGTCAAGTTTGGGAAACACTGATGTAACCCATATATTTGCCACTTGTGGAATATTATCTAGAATCAATGCTTTCTGGATTCAATTTTCACATGAAATCAATGTCTCTTATTGTTTTTTTTAAGACAAGTTTTATTGGCTTTTTGATTTTTAAAACAAAGTACTCAAGACACACCGTGGTGTTAGGGTGGTCAAACATCCGCAAACAAAACATATATACATAATTCAATCAATACATCAAATATTCCCTCTCTTTTTCCCTTAAGTACCGTATTTTATTTAAAATAATCCAATTCTAGCTTACATTTATTCAACCTAAACCTGTTTTTAAATCTTTATAAATTTACAGTAATCAAAATAACTTTAAGTACAAACATTATCAGTTCGGGTATCCCTTCCAAATATATTCTAATTCCTTAATTTTATCATAGATCTTATTTATTTCTTCTTCCACTAATATCCCTTATTTAAAATAAAATATTAATCTATCCTATACGTATCTAATCCATCAATCAATCAATCTCTTTAAACTGAATGTCTCTTATTGTTTGATCACTTGCTTTCTATCACATATATTGAATGTATGTATTATTTGTTTCCACAGTTTATTAAAAATCTTGACACTTCTCACCCTTAATAAATGTTTTATGCTTGCCTAAATGACTTAAGTGATTCATATTTGCCCCATTGGAAAAGTAAAATTGTTTTCTCTGCCAAATTCACTCCACACAAACTCAGTGCTTAAATTTCTAGGCAACAATTATCTTATTCACATATCCCATTGGTGTCCAGCTAGTATATTCATTCCCAATAAGAGGTGAAGACCAGGAAATAAGATGTAATACATGCTTTGCCTATTATTTAGGCAAATATAATATTGCTCACTTTTATTATTTAGAAATAAAGAAATCTTTAAATGCCTTTTTATTTATAGGAATCGCTTCTAATTGCACCCAAAGGTATAGTATTTTTTCTTATATATGTACCATTAATAAACATCCAAAATAAGAATGAAAAGTACATTAGAAAAACAGTATTCACATACCATAATAAGAGATAAAACAAGCACAATTATACTGCGGAGATAAGAATGCTGATACTCGTCAGAGGTACTTTCAGGGTTATTAATGATCTCCAAAGTCAGTTCCTCCTACAGAAAGAAGTAGTCACATTTAGCAACCTCTTATTAAGGTTTCCATTTGTATTAAAGGTGGAAAGAAAACATTATTATTTGTTCTGTTCAGAAAAAGAGACTATAAGGAAGAAAGTTTTATTAAAATTACATCTTCTGACTCAGCTTTTTCACTCCGATCAATTTTGTGATCCAAGCAGTAATAGTAAACACCCTTTTCTTAAAAGTCTGAAGGCTTTAAAATTCTCAGGTTATTAAAGTGAGAAGAGAATCTTTTCCTTTATTCCAATTTTATTTTATGATGGCCTGTTATAGCCAATGAGACTAAGATAATGCTTGAAACCAGTGTTTGAATTAGGGCAATACTGTGCTTCAGGGGCAATTTGTGGATTTAAAAAAATGTATATAATCAACAGCAACACACTAAGAATTTGTCACTTACTTTTGCCCCTTCCCCAATTCTGCAGTCAAAAAAATCCATGGTGAAGTTCGGGATGAGAGCCATGATGGTGCAGTAGTTAGAATGCAGTATTGCAGGCTAACTCTGCTCACTGCCTGGAGTTCGATCCTGACAGACTCAAGGTTGATTCCATCCTTTTGAGGTCAGTAAAATGAGGACCCAAATTGTTGGAGGCAATATGCTGACTCTGTAAACTGTTTAGAGCAGGGGTGTCAAACTGCCAGCCCATGGGCTGGATGCATCACACGGAAGCTGCACCCACTTCATTGCCGGCAATGGCAAAACAGTCCCAATACATTGTGTGATGTCACGTGATGTCGCGAGTTTGACATGTCTGGCTTAGAGAGTGCTGTAAAGCACTATGAAGTGGTATATAAGTCTAAATGCTATTACTATTTGAGTTCAGCTGCACCAATATGATTATGTAGGACTGGTCTATGCAGCCTAAATTCTGACTTCTGTGTGAAAGCATATTAGCTATCTGTGTAAATTATCCTCAGAATCTAACAGGCAATCAAATAATTCAGCAATTGTAAAACTATTATAATCTCTATTTCATATGAGATGGAGACCATCCATGTTAAATTTCCTCAGGTATATGCTACCTTCATCCCAACCAACAAGATTAGAAATCTCTTTTCCTAAGAGATTTTTGGGTCATCTGCTCAGTTCTGTGATAAGCAAATGTTTGTTCTTTAGGGTAAACTCTGTGCAAAATACAGACATGAGAGAACTGGGTTAAAAGATGCAAAATACTTGCAAACAAAATGGGACAGAAAGCAGTTGAGCTGCAAAATAATTCCCAGGCTGATGGAACAAAACAGGCAAATGCTTCCTATTTCTATACCTTTTCCTGGAAATGCCAGAGATGGATCTTTCTATATGCAAATAAGTGCTCTGCTTCTATTACTATCCTAATAGCCTCATAAATCAAGGATTGAACATGTGAAGCTATTTTATAAAGCAGTGTTTCCCAAACTTAACAATTTTAAGGCATGTGGACTTCAACTCCCAGAATTCCACAGCCAGCGTTGCTGGCTGTGGAATTCTGGGAGTTGAAGTCCACATGCCTTAAAATTGTCAAGTTTGGGAAACACTGTTATAAAGTATTACACAATTGTTCCAAATAATCAAAAATTCTCTTTCAGAGATCCAAGATTTATATGATAGGATACAGCTAACAGCAAAATGAGAAGTATATGTGACCATCTATCTCTTTCACCTCGATTACCAACATTCAAAATGGACTGATTCAGAGTTTAACTTATTTTGTTCTAACCAACTCTGCAGGCAGATTTATTTAAGAATCATGATGCCTATATAAAACTCCTAACTGTCACAGAAAAATCACAAAATAAACTTTAAAGAATCGTCAAAAGAAGCTGGAGATACATACGATAAAGAATAGTGCCTAGTCAACAATTTTTTAAATGAAAGGCACAGGCCTTCCTAAATTGAGTTGACAGACAATCCAACAACCACCATTGTTATTCCTTGTTTCAGTTCTAGAATGGCAAACTGAGGAGAAGAGAAAATTTCTAGGAATCTCAACTGGGACTACTGTTCAGCAGAAATAGAGCTCTTTTACTGATCTCTGCCTCATCAGAAAATTTCTGAAGCTTCTACCAACATTAGTATTAATATCAGATGACAGTCAGCAATATAGCATCTGCAACACTACTATTTGATGCCCAATGCAATCTGTCTACCAGTTAGGAGAAAATGATAAAAATTTTACTTATAAGACAGATATAATAAGATCTTTGTATTTTGCATGAAATCTCTTTGAGCATTTGGAACATGTAAACATGGGTCATTTTAATTTAATTTCAATTATTTCTGTTTAAAACATTGTACAAAATTGGATAATGGGAATCTATTGGGAATTGGGGCTCTTTACCTAAAAAAAATGCTGACTCTTGGTCTAAGATGCAAGTAGAAATGTTAACTCCTTATTTTTATTTTATAATATGTTAGGTTACACATCAGCATCTGTCTAGTAGCTGCACTTGTATTAAAGCTATTACAGAAGAGGTTTTCCTTGCCACCAGAGATATTAGGAAGTCTTAGGTACTAGAAAAGAACTGGCCTTACCTCTTCTTCATCCCATTGATACATATTCCAATGATTGACAATTTTAGCTCTGTGTCGCTTCCATACCTCCAAAAATACAGTGGCTGTACATTAAGGACAAATAAGATAAAGAAAGAGGGAGGGAGGGAGGGAGGGAGGGAGGGAGGGGAGAGGGAGGAAGAGAAAGAAAAAGAGAGGGGGAGAGGGAGAGGGGGGAGAGAGAGAGAGAGAGAGAGAGAGAGAGAGAGAAACACTATTTTCAATTTTTTGCATGAGTACTCCAGTATTCTGAACAAAACAGGGCAATTCATTTTATAAAATTTATAGAAGGCACTTAAAAGTTACTGCAACTCTCTTTATAAAAGCTATACCAATATCTGTGCCTAATGCACAGAGTTGATTGTAAGCAAGGTAACCTAGTACGCTTCTTCAAGTTTCATGGAGTGCATTTAAAACAAAACAGCAGCTATTACTTTCAAAAAGTGTATATATATATATATATATATAACCAAAGACCTATATATATATATATATATATATATATATATATATATATATATATATATATATATATACATATACATATACATACATACACACATAAAGATAATGTTTCCTTTGAGTCAAACGTTTGGTCATATGGCCATATGGAAGTGGCTTGCTATTTATTTCCTCTGTCTTTAAAAGAAAAAAAATGTTAATCTATGTGACAGCCTTGGTATTTCCCAGTGGTCTCCTATCCAACTACTCCTATCCAACTACTATTGAGATCAGCCAAAGTAAGCAGAGGATATATATCTCTAAGGGAATGTTAAAAATATAATGGAACATATACAATGATTTCTATCCCATAAGATATTCCATATCAGAATTAGAGATTAAAAATATTTTGACAATGAAGAGGAAAAAGGATTGTCCTGTGGACAGAAGACAGCTTATATTTAAAAACAGCATTCCTCATTAAACTCCAAACAGATCAATCTTCTGCAAGCTTACCCCAGATAGTCATGAATATTGCAAACACAACTGTACATTCATTATCAACCACATGGGTGATCTAAATGGTTAAAAAAAAGAAGAGAGGTAAATCACTAGAGTTCTTTGGAAAACAGTGTGTGGCTTTTTTCACAATGTTGCTTTTTGTCATTCTGCTTTCTTTGATCACATATGTCCCCCCCTTCCCCTGTGAACATTGATGGATGGGCCATTCAGCTGTGATATAGATCATAAAGACATCATACATTCTTTTCTTATATTTAAGTGAAATGTAGGTAACTGTGAGTGGCGTTCATTATTTCGGATTCTAGTTTCCATAGCAGTGAAAAATTGTTCCTATTCATCTTCCCCATGGCACCTTTTTACATACGTGAATACAAATATAATGTCACCTCTTAGTCTTGATTTTTTCAGACTAAGCACCCCATGTTCCTTCAGCTTCTCCCTTTAGATATCTTCTCAAATCCCTTCTAGCAGCTGCTTCATAGTGCTGCCTCATGTTCAGCTTGTGATCAATGTCCACTCCTAAGTCTCTCTCCAGTATAGCATTTCAAAGTCACAAATTCTCTCTCTTATATGTGTCCCCCACATTTTTCCTCCCTAAATACAAAACCCTACAATTTTCCCCTTTAAAGAATATCTCTCAGACCAATTTTCCAAACATTAGACTGAAATCTCATTCTTCTATTCTGAGTGTTAGCTTGACCTTCCAATTGTCTGTCATTCCCAATTATGATACACAACCAATCAATCTTTATTAATTGAAACGTTGAGTAATACTGGTCCCAACACAACTGGCTACTTCTCCCAAATTCAGTGTGAAGTCCCTAATGATTTTTGTATGAACAGAATAACAGAGTTGGAAGGGACCTTGGAGGTCATCTAGTCTAACCCCCTGCTCAGGCAGGAAACCCTATACCATTTCGGACAAATGACTGTCCAGTCTCTTCTTAAAAACCTCAAATGTTGGAGCATTCACAACTTCTGGAAGCAGGTTGTTCCCCTGATTACTTGTTCTTACTGTCAGGAAATTTCTCCTTGGTTCTAGGTTGCTTCTCTCCTTGATTAGTTTCTATCCGTTGCTTCTTGTCCTGCTTTCAGGTGCTGAGTGTGCTGAGGTGCTAAATATGAGTGTGTTAGCTAGCCAGTTGTGGATCTCCCCTGCTGTCATGCCATCTAAACTACTCTTTAACAACTTCATGTGGAAACTTATCAAAAAACATTTGCTAAAACTCTAGCAACTTATATCTCTAGCAGTCACCTTGTCCAATAAAGGAAAGTCTCCTATGGTCTGTTTTGAACAAAGTTATGCTGACTTTTAGCAATCATGGCATTATCTTCAAGGTATTTTCCAAGGAGCATTTGAGGGTCAAACTACAGACTATGGATTAAATCTATCAAAATACTCCTGAAACTATATGGTATCAAATTAAACAATTACCCCCTTTATAAATGTCTGTTTATTTATTCATTCTTTTATTTATTTTTTGAATTTATTTAGTGCTCATCTGACAAATGATTATTGATTCGACAATGGAAACCAAACTGTCAGTTCAGCCATATTCTGTGGATATTCTGTTTCCTTGGCAGTAGAAATACTAGAACCCTAAGAGCACCACAAGAGATAAGTGAGATGTTTTATGTTCTTACCTTGGCATATGTGCAAGTGTCTGATAAAATCCAAAATGGGCAGTTCTGGTCACAGAGTGGACACATGATGGTAGTGTTGGCCTCACAGATTTCTTTACTAAATTAGAGAGAGACAACATTTTTATTATCCCTACAATTCACTCTATTCAATAACAAGGCACAGGTAGAAGAGTGCCTAAACAGGTCGACACTGGTTGTCCTTGACTTCAATGCTTATCTATTCCATGCCTGCAAAATTTCATTGATGGTGATCAATTGGGTACATGTTACATTTTTTTTTCAGATGCAGTATGTCAATATTAAGTCAGTTGGTCAGTTTGGATAAGTACCATTTAAACGTATTTATTGGCTTCTCTTAAAGAATTCCCTCTCCCAAAGTAGCTCAGGGCTCACAATAAGTTAAAAATCTAAAAGTCCCTCATGCTGTTATTAGAAATCATCTAAAACATGAAAGCATCAGAAAATGTAATAATGGTTATAAAAGGGTATTTGAAGAAAATACTATAATTATAAAAACAAAAAAGAAATCAAAGTGTCATCACAACCAAAACATGACGAACTGCACTGACTTGTTGATCTTTAAGCAATAATGTAGTGTGAAACAATCTTAGGGGTGGAAAGTGGGTTGTTAGGTAAATCAACTGCAAAAATTGCTGCAATTATTAGATTGTAGCACTCTTTGGAATGTGAAGGGTATATGATGCCATCTCTACGGATTCATGGAATGAGATCATACATATACACACATGTGATTCAGAGGTCAAATCTTTTGTCCTTTTGTGTCCTTGTCACATAACTATGAAGATGTCAATATCCCATACGCCTTATCAAGCACTAAGTAGAGAAAGTTCTCCAGAACTAGAATACTTTGAGAATGGGTCTAACTGTTGGCCTTCCTTAAGGACAATTATTGCCTATGTTATACTATCAAGATCCATAATTTCACATCAGATAGGTTCTGCCCAACCATGAAGTCCCATTTACAAAGGAAAAGACTCTCTCAAGCCAAACTTAATTCCTGGTGACTTCATAAATACATCCATGTAGGGTTTTTTGCAATAATAAGAAATGAGTTCACCATCTTCTTCTGGGATATTTTTTCAGCTTCCCAGATCAGCCTACAGTCCTAGGATTTCTTGGGTGTTTCCTACCCAAGTATGATCCAGGTCTGACCTTGCTTCGCTTTTTGAGATTATGTATTTTTATTTAGAATCACAGGTCTTCTCTTGACGCAGGACTCAGGACTCCTGAGTACTGGTCAGAGGAAATGATGGTTTTGTCACCAACTGATGAGCCAGCCTAGAAGCTCAGAAGAAATTCCAGAACACTTTCCCATAACAAGTCTGTTCATGTTTAAATGACTAAGGCTTCCAGAAAAAACAACAACGATGCAGTCTTTGCTCAACCAGAGAAGCCCTGCATGTTTTCTATTGGAAAAAAAATGTTCAAAAACACAATTACAACATCAACTATACCGTATGGCATTCTACAGCAAGCTGGCAATCATCTTCTGTAGCAAAAAGGATCTCACACCCAATTGAACAACTGAGTAGCTTTCTAATCTCCTGATGGCTGGCAGAAACATCATGTATGACATCATGCAGATTTACAGGCAAGATATTCCTTGTTATTTGATACTGGGTCCTTCAATATCCAGACTCCACCCATGGCTTCTCTGGTTGAGCAAAGACTGCACCACTTTTCTTTTTTCTGGAAACCTTTTGTATCATTCATAGACGCTAGAGCCATTGATGTGCCAGGAAAAACTAGCGACTCTCAGATAGTTTCTTTATTTGATTAGCTGTACTCTCCCCTTTCAAAATTGCTGCAGGATTGCAGACAATATTCAAAGAATTGGACTTGACTTTCTGTAGGTTCATCCATAGTGCAAAGGCATTAGTTGACCCCCCCAGGATGTTGTTTTATTGGGAAAATGTTAAGAAATAATTGATCTAGTATTTCTATAAGTTGCTTATTTACTTAGTTCACTTCATGTAATATAGTTTCTTAATGTGCATGCTCTTAATAAGGCTTCTTTCCCATCTGCTCCTCCAGATTTCCATGGGATACTTGAATAGAATAGAATAGAGCTGGAAGGGACATTGGAGGCCTTCTAGTGCAGCCCCATGCTCCGGCAGGAGAACCTATACCATTTCAGACAAGTGACTGTCTAGTACAGTAGTTCTCAACCTTTCTAATGCCGTGACCCCATAATACAGTTCCCCATGTTGTGGTGACCCCCAAGTGGGTGTGGCCACCAATAAGAGGGAGTAGGACAGCTAGGGAAAAGGGGAAAAAATGGCGGACAGCGTGGTTTGGCGACCCCCGTGAAATGGTCGTTCGACCCCAAATGGGATCCCGACCCACAGGTTGAGAACCACTGGTCTAGTCTCTTCTTAAAAACCTACAGTGATGGAGCGCCCACTTCTGAAGGCAAGCTGTTCCATTGGTTAATTATCCTTACTGTTAGGAAGTTTTCCCTTAATTTCAGGTTGCTTCTCTCTTTGGTCAGTTTCCAACCATTGTTTCTTGTCCTGCCCTCTGGTACTTTGGAAAATAGTTTGACCCCCTATTCTTTGTGGCAGCCCCTCAAATACTGGAATACTGCTATCATGTCACCCCTGTTTCTTCTTTTCTTTAGACTAGCCAAACCCAAGTCCTGCAGCCGTCCTTCATATGTTTTAGTCTCCAGGCCTTTGATCATTTTAATTGCTCTTCTCTGAACTCTTTCCAAAGTCTCAACATCTTTTTTGTGGTTGCAGTATTCCAGGTGTGGTCTTATTAGGGTTTTATAAAGCGGTACTAGTACTTCACGTGATCTTGATTCTATGATTCTGTTTATACAATCCAGGATTGTATTAGCTTTTTTGGCTGCTGTTGCATATTGCTGGCTCATAGTCAAATGATTATCCACTAGGACTCCAAGGTCCCTCTCATAGTTACTGTTTTAGGTCTCACCTAATCTGTACTTATACCTTTGATTTTTCCTGCCTAAATGTAAAACTTTGCTTTTTTCCACATTAAAATTCATTTTGTTGAATAGGGCCCATTGTTAAAGTTTGTCAAGATCTTTTTGGATCCTGAGCTTGTCTTCTGGGGTGTTGGCTATTCCTACCAGTTTAGTATCATCTGCAAATTTGATGAGTTCCTCTTCTATTCCCTCATCTAAGTCATTTAAGAATGGATCTACATAGAGAAAAAAAAAATCCAGCAAATGATTCTGTATCTTTCCCAACTGCTGGTATCCACACAGGAAGGCAACACCTAGGAAAGATTACAAGTATTCAGGTTGCATGAAGGGTGAGGAACAAGGACCAAATAACTATGCAGTTGGTGGGCTGAGGAATATTTGGGATTGTTTCAACAGCTACCTGCTCTTGATTGGGGAGGTCCAATGTGGATACATGACTCATTTTACAGTTTGGAGGGTCCATCAATCTGTTAGAGGAAAGAGGAAGTGGAGGAAGAGGAAATGTAAAGAGGAGAAATTTGTAGCCTGCTCAAAACCATTGTTCCCTTCTCCAACTTCATATGCCTATAAACTGCAGGAAGCAATGGCAAAAGACCAACATAGTGGTTTCCCTTTCTAAACTTTCAAAGGTGGTTGCATTTTTCATTTTCATAATCATCCTGCCATATTCTCGCAAGCAAAAAGAGTAACTCACCTGATCTGACCAGAACTGAATCTGATGAAGCCATAGATGAAAAGAATACAACCAGGCACAGCAGCTATTAACAGGACGCATGTATACCAGCCCAGCCAAGCATAATAAAGAGCAATTTTCTCCCCAAAATATGTTCTGAAAAAGAAACAATATACCTTGACAAGATTGTCCAAACAACATTGCTTGCCTTGACATAAATCCTCTAATTCTGGATCTGAAAGAACTTCCACTAGATGAAGAAATTTCTAAGCTAGTACCTTATTTTACAAAAGCAGTCAATGGAAGCTAGTCTCAGAGGCAAAAAAGAAGAAGGAGGAGGAGGAGGAGGAGGAGGAGGAGGAGGAGGAGGAGGAGGAGGAAGAAGAAGAAGAAGAAGAAGAAGAAGAAGAAGAAGAAGAAGAAGAAGAAGAAGAAGAAGAAGAAGAAGAAGAAGAAGAAGAAGAAGAAGAAGAAGAAGAAGATTGCGCTGAACTTTGGTGAAATCCAATGATTCAATTTTCAAGTACTAGATTATTAAAATATGTTCAAATATTGAGCAACACTGGCAAGAGCTATAGCAGGGTTTAATCCTCAGATCAGACAGTGAAATATCAACGAACCATCTCTTCTTCAAGAGAAGCAGATTGTTAACTGAAATGCATGACATCATTTCAGTTTGTGACAGCATGATCTCAATTCAGAATCAAAAAAGGGAATACAATTTAAATCTTATTCAAATGTTCCTTTCCTTTAGATAAGGAAATAGAACACAAAAAGCTATCTGAATTAACATGATGATGTTTTTATTGTAATAATGTCATATATCAAAGCGTACTCATCAATTTTTCCAAATCCTCCGTCCCTTACCTGATTTCTCCAATTGGTTGCCTGCAGAAGAGATCTCTCCATTGAGCCCAATTCATTTTCAGAAATCTACCCAGATTTTCTCTCTAGATAAAATAATGCAATTAAATATGTTAAAACTGAAAGATTATATGTTCTGTAAACAATGTTTCAGCCCTGAGCAATAAACACCTACAAGATGCTGAATAGATAGATATACAGTATACAGACACAGTTGTCAAATAAAGCTTTTCTTCTACTGGTTATATTAATGCATTGCAAATGTATTTTCTGACATTTATTTTAACCTCCTCTTCTAATTAAGCACTTTCCTTACCACCACCACCATCCCTAATACACAGAGCAAGTTATAATGGTGTATCTCTCTGGATCAAGAAAAAGACTCAACTCCCTTCCTCAACTTAAGCTCACAACTGCTATTTAATTTAACAGGCTTCCTCACCTCGTGTAAAGGAAATGCAGTTTCAAACACTTTCTTCTTTATCAGGTCACGAAGCTTCTCTAATAGCAGAAAAGAAACAAGATCAAGACTTTCCCCCTCCAAAAAAAGTGCAGTTCTGCCGGGATATTTCTTTCAAATAGACACTTAAGTGAATATTCTAAATAAAGCCTTGCAGGTAAAGATCTCCTTGAAGCATATGTATCTCAAAGTAGCATGCATATATATTAGAATGTGCATGTCAATTAAGGCTAATTCTTCTGCTCTAGTTTCTGTTACTCATTCATTTGATAAACATTCTTCCTTCTAGAGCTACAGTAGCACTGTAGCTAAAAAACAATTCACAAAAATAGATTAAACTGAAATACAATACACCAGCCTTTTCTAGGGCAAACTACAAGACACGATGGCTATCAGATTGTTTGTAGATTGTTTTATCTTATTTTTAATTTTGGACATAAACAGCTAGAAATAAAATATTTCCTCCTTGTCGTTTGACAGCTAATTCCATGGTAATGATTTGGTTTGCTTGGGATGGCGTAAATATGTCATTCAAAAACCAAGTTTGCATTATTTGTCAATTCTCAGGTGATGACAAAAGAAATTACTTTTACCCAAATGGAGCTGTTGAATCAACTGCAGGTATAGCTATGTCTTTTTGGACAAGACAAGATTTGAACAGTCAGTCCAAGACTTTTACACAGTGTACAAAATGTTTCCTGTAATAAAGCACAAGCTATTTCTGAGTGGAACTTGAACCTTGGTCATCCTACAAACATCATCACATTTCCTCCAGTCCACTACATTGCAAATACAAATGAAACATTGGATCATAAGAGCATCAGATTGTTTGTCTGAAGTGACACTGCTAAAAAAAAGTTTTTTTCCCCAGTTCATCACATCATTACTACTCATCAGAAAGATGGGTCAGCTTGCAGGTATGGTTACATGTACTAACGGATGAAGCCTCCCCACAGTGGGGTGTGCCTCAGTGTGAATAATAAAACTGACTGATGATCATAGCTGCATTTGTAGAAAGGACACTGCAGAGTGAAAATGAAATACAAATGGATTATATTTACACTGATAAAGAAAAAGATATTTTCATACCTTTGGTATGCGGAATTTCTGTGTTTTGCAGGATAAAGCTCACAATACGTATCCTAAAACATACAAGAACGAGAAACAGCAATGCTAGTGTAAACTCTTCAGGGGCAGGAATAAATACAACTGTTGTTGTCCGTAATAGAAAAGTATTTTTTTTCCTGGTATGAAGCTGTTAAGGCATATAACTTTTATCCTTCGGTCCCTAACTGTGATCCTACTTTACCCTACGTTATGCCGTTTAGAGAAACAAGAACAAATAGATCCATTTCTGAGAATTAGCCAAAAAAGGCAATAGGGGCATTGCTAGTGAAAAAGCTGCAAGGATTGACCTCCCTACTTCCCTGAAATTTTTGCTTTGTTTTGTTTGCTTTGTTTTAAAAAGTATCCAGTTCTTTCTCTGTATTCTACACAATAATCTATATACTGTAGTTCAGCGGTTCTCAACCTATGGGTCGCAACCCCATTTGGGGTCGATCAACCATTTCACGGGGGTCGCCAAGCAAGGCTGTCCGCCATTTTTTTCCCCTTTTCTGGCGGGTGCCTTACCTCCCTTGGGCTGGCCCAGCTGGTGGCCCAGCCAGTGGTCGGTCTGCTCCGTCTCTGCTGCTTGCCAGCTACGCCTCGGCCGGCGCAGGGGGTGGCACCACGTATGCGCGCCACTCCCAGGCAGGGAAAGTCCTCAACTTACGACTGGTTTAGTCCTTGACTTACGACCGGTTAGGGTCGTGGCATTAAAAAGGTTGAGAACCACTGCTGTAGCTGCTCAGTAGGCACTATAATTAATTTTAGTTTCCATGTGCTATCTAGTAAGTGGAGATGCCTTAACAAAAATCTATTACTTAAAGTTATCTTGAAATGAATAGTGTTGATATATTTAGAGTTTCAAAATGGCTTAGAAAGTCATTCTCGACCAATCCTTTCAAAAGTCAATAGAATAAAAGGGAGTAGCACAGCTAAGGAAAAGGGGGAAAAAATGGCGGACTGCGTTGTTTGGTGACCCCCGTGAAATGGTCGTTCGACCCCAAATGGGGTCCCGACCCACAGGTTGAGAACCACTGAGTTAAAAGCAATATTCTCTGTATCAATTCAAACATTTTTTTCAAAACAATTTTTCCATTAATTTATGACCTCATGATTTGTTAACCACTTGAGCTTCACTTGAGCACAAACAGTATGCACCAGTTGCCCCCAGTGGTGGCAGATTCTGTAAAGAACTGAGACTGGGACTAAATGGATGGATGGATGGATGGATGGATGGACGGCCACTTTACCTTGTTGACGTGATTGCTGACTCTTGGTAATCTAATTGCTCTGGAAGCAGATGCCCCAATTCATTATCAGGATTATTTATAAGCCACTGGTATTTTCGGAAGATTCCACTTGGTGCATGAACTCCATAAAAGAGCTTTTGGTCCTGAATTTCCTAAGAGTTTGATAGAAAATAAACGATACAAAGGTTTATAAGACAACAGTCTAGGAGGAGTCCTCAATTCTCATACTCGTGTATTGATGCAAAAGCATTATGACCATGCTTGAGAAAAGGCCTGTTAGGCAGATTACATCCACTGTATCAATGCATGAGTTTGTTGTGTTGTCAGTGAGCTACCTGACATCAGCTCCATCCTGAGCAAGGAAAGCTGTGGTCCTCTTGTAAACAAGAGTATGTCAAACCAGCATGTCAGCTTGATATCCAGGAATGTCGTGTCAGCTTTGGAGAGGGAAGGGATGTCAGTCCTACCTTGATAATGAACCCTTTCTTGTGCAGTTCTTCCAGAAACTTCTTTTTCATGCGATCCTCCACACTGTTCATCTTGTGATCATCACAAACTAGGACAAAATCCCAATTCCTAGGGAACTGGTCAGAAAAAAACAATCCATTGAATCCACTAGTAGAAAATCAATAATTAGTTTTCTTTGTCTTGCAGAAGGAAACAATAATAATACTATATTAAATGTATATGTTGCCCACCCCCCCAGAGACTAACTATGTATGTATAATATATTATGCATACATTACACATATATAATAAGCAAAGTCCCTCTGAGAAAGACAGGTGGTTTCAAAATTTGATGAATAAATAAATAAAATAAAGAAAGAAAGAAACAATATTTTTTCCTTTTTAAATAACACTGGAAAGCACCTTCCCTCTAGAATTCAGTCTCCAAAATACTTTCCTAATACTTCTATTTTGTATTTCTGACCACATGATTCCATTAATCAATTCCACATGTTAAAAAAATCCTATAATTCATTTTCTTTCCAATGTTTATTCATCGACACATCATGCTAAGTATAGTTGGCCTTCATCACTCATTGATGAACAAAACTAACAGAAACTTAGTAAGCTGCACTTCCAATCAGTAAGACAAAAACAAATTGCAGATCCAAATTACGATTTATGACTTGAAAACAAAGCATGAGTTATTCACTACCCCCATTCAGATATCATTGTAAGAAAGAGATGGAAAAACTTTGAAAACAACTGGGATAGTTGGATTTTTCCCTCAATTTTTTCCAGTCCCCCTCCTTTTGCCTTTTTTCACTAAAAAGATGGAAAGGATGAAGAAAAATGAAATATTTTCTTTCAGAATAATGAATGCAATAAAATAATATACTCATTCTTTATTCTCCCAATATCCTGTATTAGGATAAGCAAGATTATAGAAAGCACACAAAAAAGAATAAGAAACTTTATCACTAAAACTCTTGAGTCTGTAAGTTTTAACTGAGTGAAACAGTTAATCATAGGGCAACAGTTTTTCAACTATGGTACCTCAAATGTGCTAACTTATATAATGCATCCAAAATGATGCCCAAGGGACTGAAATTTGGCAAATTTGTGATTCCTTCAGTGCCTGGAAGTTCAGTAGACTGGTCCACCTCTGAAGGTCAGATAGACTGGCCCCTCCTTTTGCTCCTGGTGATCAGGTAGACAGAATAACCAAGGGCAAAAGAACAGTGAGAATGGGAACAACTTTCAACTTTCTGCTGACTTGACTATGGCTGATCGCCCTCCAGCAGCCAGTGGTGAGACTAGCCTACTCAGCCTCCAGAGGGTTAGGGTGGGACCACTGGCTGACGATCAGCCGTAATCAAGTCAGCAGAAAATTGGAAGTTGCTCCCACTTCTACTAGTTTTTTGCCCTTGGTTATTCTGTTTCTTTGTTTAGGTAAGAAAATGCCTCTGAAATGATAACCCAACAGTTCACAGGTTGTCTACTTTATTATAGCCCATTCTCTCCTTGCAAATCATTTTTCTTTCCATCAGTTTTATACATTGATTCATTGACAGAAACAAATTCTTCCGCAGTTATTGTTTTTTTTTTTCACTATTTATTTGGAGAAACATGTATTCCTTTGTGCAGGCCACATACTATTCACAACTTTTCTATCAACATTTCCACTTTTTTAAAAAAAACAACAGCTCTGTCCATTTCCCCATCTTTAGTAAACATTCTACTAAGTTCTTGCACAAACATCTACCGGTATTAGTTCTATTTATTTGCAATTTATTTATAACTTGAAATCATTCATTCCCTTCTCTTGCCACACAAAACTACCGTACTTTGGTCCTTAATTCATTAATTTCCAAATTCCTAGCCCTCATCATATTATACATATATTCGCTGAAAAGCATTTGAATTCTCAGCCAACATCTCTACATAAAAGTATCCCTAATCTATTTACCTGCGATGTCACAAGTATTTCCTATACATTGATCCATAAATATATTATGCAACCAAAGGAGCAGCACACATCCTTGTCTTATTCACTACTCACTGAGGAATAATTCACTAAGCATTCCATTTATTCACATGACAGTTTTTCTTCCCTTTTGTCCTATTTTTATCATATTCAGGAACCAATCTTTGATTCCATATTTGTGTGAAACATTCTGTGACATATACTGTACCCATAGATTTTCTCAAAATCAAGGAATGTGTGAAAAAACATTTTTCCACAATTCTCAATGCCTGCTAAGGAGCAAAATTCCAGTCTGTTCAACTACTACCTGGCACAAAATTCATAATTTTTGCTCATTGTCGCCTCTCGTGGCCTTCAGATCAAAATTCCTCCAACATCTTCCCAAATACAATTAACATATTATTATCTGTAAAGATTTGTATTCACTCTTGCCAACTTTCCTTTTGTGTAAAAGAACAATAGCAACATTTTTCCAATCTTCAGCCATGGAACGCAGCATTTATTTTATTTATTTATTTATTTATGAGACTTATATACCGCTTTAAGTGCAAGCACTCTCTAAGCGGTGTACACCAGTAAGTAATGTATATATATATTTACATTGCCCCCAACAATCTGGGTCCTCATTTTACCTACCCCGCAAGGATGGAAGGCTGAGTCAACCCTGAGCCGGTGAGATTTGAACCGCTGACCTGCTGAACACAGTCAGCTAAAGTGGCCTGCAGTACTGCACCCTAACTGCTGCGCCACCTCGGCTCTTGTCAATATTACACAAGTCGCATAGCCACTCCACAGGCAAATCACATTCATATTTATAACATTTCTTCCATTATCCTATCTACTCTTTACAATCTTACCATTTTCAGCATTCTCAGAGCATTTATGGGGTTTTTTTTTCAATTCTTTTTTTTCTGTGGGAAAGAATAGAATAGAATAGAATAGAATAGAATAGAATAGAATAGAATAGAATAGAATAGAATAGAATAGAATAGAAAGGGACCTTGGAGGTCTTTTAGTCCAGCTCCCCACTCAAGCAGGAGAACCTATATCATTTCAGAGAAGTGACTGTCTAATCTCTTCTTAAAAACCTCCAGTGATGGAACGCCCACGATTTATGAGGGCAAGCTGTTTCACTGGTTAATTGTCCTCACTGTTAGGAAGTTTCTCCTTAATTCCGGGTTGCTTCTCTCTTTGGTCAGTTTCCAACCATTGTTTCTTGTCCTGCCCTCTGGTGCTTTGGAGAATAGTTTGACCCCCTCTTCTTTGTGGCAGCCCCTCAATACTGGAATACTGCTATCATGTCAGCTCTGTTTCTTCTTTTCTTTAGACTAGCAAAACCTAAGTCCTGCAGCCCTTCTTCATATGTTTTAGTCTCCAGGCCTTGGATCATCTTAGTTGCTCTTCTCTGAAATTGTTTCTCTGAATTTGTTTTAATTTTACTTTTTGACTTATTGGCTAAAAGATTGGTGGGTACTAACCCGGTGTGAAGAAGCCAATGTCCACACAGGATAAGGAAAGACAAAACTCTTTAGTTCTGTGCAGAAGCAGAAGAGGGTGTCACTGAGTTTCACACCCAAGGAGCACACCAGGAACCAGGCTGTTATTTTTACACAATTTACCACAGAAAACAAAAATAAGAGAATTGCCAATTGGTTACAAAGTTACATGACAGTCGCACATGTGCACAAAGCAAAGCCATCCCATAATATTCTATTAAATAGTTAATCCTACTTCGTCATCATATAAGTTGTCTACCTCTGGGTGTATTTTTTTTTTAACTACGCTAATGATAAACTTTGCTTATCTCCAGACCTTGTCCGGATGCCTCTAACCACAGCTTAAGATAAATATCACATCACCTCCTAGTAACAGGTTTGCTTGCAAGGTATCTTAGCTGAGTGTCAAAGCCACATTCTACCAGCTAATTTATATAGGAGATATCTGTAATCAACCTTTGGAGTGTTTGTGGTTGACTCTTGTAGCTCTTTTGATGATAGGTGTTAAAGAAAGGTTACCTCTACTCAGCAAAGGCACAAATAAGAGAATCTCTCTGGCTAAAGTTAATTCAGAGCTTACAAAAGCCTCTAATTACTTATTAATAAGCAAATAAGCCACCAGACCCTCAAACTGGAGGGGTGTCATAGCTATAAATAAAAACTAGGCAAATTTCCACTCATTCTACAGACATATTGTTATCATTCCCACAGAAATCTCTGAACTACCTACAGTATTCTGAATTCCCTTACTTTAAGCTTCATCTGAAGACATTTCATCACTTTTTATTTGTAGCTCAATTTATTCAGAAGAAGTTTCTGGCATAGCTTTCTTCCTACTTCCAGAATATTTATTTTTACCAAAATCATTTGGTATTTTTCTGCCTTTTTTAATCTTAATCATTGAGACTTTGGAAAAAGTTCAGAGAAGAGCAACTAAAATGATCAAAGGCCTGGAGACTAAAACATATGAAGGACGGCTGCAGGACTTGGGTTTGGCTAGTCTAAGGAAAAGAATAAATAGGGGTGACGTAATAGCAGTATTCCAGTATTTGAGGGGCTGCCATAAAGAAGAGGGGGTCAAATTATTCTCCAAAGCACCAGAGGGCAGGACAAGAAACAATGTTTGGAAACTGATCAAAGAGAAAAGCAACCTGGAATTAAGGAGAAACTTCCTAACAGTGAGGACGATTAACCAGTGGAACAGCTTGCCCTCAGAAATCGTGGGTGCTCCATCCCTGGAGGTTTTTATGAAGAGACTAGACAGTCACTTGTCTGAAATGATGTAGATTCTCCTGCTTGAGCGGGGGGCTGGACTAGAAGACCTCCAAGATCCCTTCCAGCTTCTATTCTGTTCTGTTCTGTTCTGTTCTGTTCTGCTCTGCTCTGCTCTGCTCTGCTCTATTCTATTCTATTCTATTCTATTCTATTCTATTCTATTCTATTCTATTCTTGCTCTGTTTGACCACATATTATGCCATGATAAAATATTTTCACTTGAAATGGGAAGATTTTTATCTAAAATACAGGTGAGGAACTATGGCCTTTTTATGACTTGTGGACTTCAACATCCAGAATTCCTGAGTCAACATAGCTAGTTGAAGACCACAAGTCATAAAATGCCATTGTTCCCCAACCCTGATCTAGAGTATCAGAA